GGAGGACGGTGAGGCTCTTACACTGAAGCACCCAGTATCTGTTTGTTGCAACAGTACAGATGGACCCTCCAAATCAAAACTAAAGTTACTGTATGATGCTGAGTATTATCTTGCCAAATGAACCTGTCACTGGGCTAGGCTCTCACACTGCTGCTGAGGTGGTATGCATAAGAGAGCCCACTGGGACAAGTCAAGGAGTAAGATAATTCCTGGGTGTAAAGCAGGAAGATTTGGGACACAGAGAGTTGTGAGCTGCCTAGCCTCAGAAGGGAGCTTCAGTTTCTTCCGCTACCCTCCTACAGTAAGTTTGACAGCATAGCAGCTGATTCCCAGTGAAGGGTTTGCAGCGTGGTTGCGCGTGCCTTTTGGAATACAGCATCTCAGATGTAGCTGGCGCTCAGCTGCAAGTGAGGTGCGTGGTTAGCAACAAGGATAACGTCCTAATTAGTTGTGTGTCTCAAAGCTGAGTGAAGGGCCCGAAGTAGTGGCTGAGCAGCAGCACTATGTTGCCATCAAGTGGTAAATATGTTGACGTCTGTATAGTCAGGGTGATCATGGCTGGCTGGAATCCACTGAATGAAGAAAAACCAAAAAATATTAAAAAATTGTCTTCTTTTCATTTCTTTGTGTTATCCCTCTCTCTTTACTGGTGATTGATCCGGTGAGATTGTCTCTTCTTCACTTACTGTTTGAATGAAAGATACGAAGAAGAACATTTTCAAATAATGCACTCGTCGTATGATTTTGAAAGAATTATACTTTTTCCCTCAGACACAGCTTTAGCAAAAATGACATGAAAAATATATTTTCTCTTTACCAGGATGTCAGCCCTTCAACTTCATTGACATTGTCATCCAATAACACTGCTGTCATCACAAAAACAATTACCAGAACACTTCCTCTAAAACAGAAAATGCGCTTCGTCAATGTTAAGGCTCAGCATCTGCAAAATATCAACAAACAATCCAAAAGCATAAAAGATCTGGAGATCCAACTGCTGCAAGTGGAGTGCGAAGAACTCAAAAATCAGCTGGGATGCCTGAGGGTAGGTAAAAATCCAGTTCTGTTCTTAATATTTAAATCTGCTGGTGAACAGTTACAATAAAAATAACTTATTCATAGAGGTGTTAAAACCAAGTCTAGGAAAAAAATGTTCTGCTCAGTTTTCATGCAAACAGCTCATTGATATTAAACATTTTGTAAATTATCATGTCTAGAAGAGAGTTCATGTCTGAAATCACAACACTTCTGGTTTAGCTTCAAGTTAAGATTTTCACTAAGGATATAAACTTGTATTGTGGATTACTGAGTGATGTTCCTATACTTTTTCACTGCTAGCATCAAATTCTTCTCAGCATTGTCTTCTACTAATTTTGTGCTCTACCAGGAGCATCTCTGAGCCTTTTGTTACAGCAATTTATCATGCAAAAGGAACTTCCTCCACTTCCCAAAGGTTGCAATTGCCCAATTTGCTTACTGCCTCAATGTAACCTGGTTTGATTAATAGGCAGAGGAAGTTTACTAAGCAAGAAGTAGTAGGGTAGTTGAAGAGTGGGATGTTGTGCTGCTGATGCTATGACAAGACATCTTGCTTTTTAGGGGGCAAAGGATTATTAAATTAAGCATAAAAAGTCATGTGCATAGATATAGATACATTGCTATAGCAGATGTTCTTATTTAGCTCAAAATTCAGCTATGAAAAATGATGTTGCTATAACCATAAACTTGAGAAAACAGAAATCGAAAATTTCCTGTCATGCAGGAAGGGCTGGTGGGACAGAAGCAAGACGACACGGAGGAGTTACTGAAACAATCGCAGAAAGAGCTGTTGTGGCTTCAGAGACAGCTGTCCTTTATCTCCACGGGAGGCCCTGTGTGTGTTTTGGCAGCTAGCAAGGTGAGCTCCGGTATTATGTTTTCAGTCCACCTCACTGTACAAAGAAGAATTAGGGAGAGAAGGTTTCATCATCATTTTGGTTTGTTTTATTGAAATAATGCATGGCAAGATTTATTTTTCATATTAAGGGTACTAAAAGGAAGATTCATCTTTTAGGAGGTATTTTAAATAATTGTTTCATGTAATTCAGAATCATTGGAAAGAACATGAAATTAGTTACGGCCAGTGAAAGGTTACATAGTCAAAATGGCATTTCATACAGCCCTATCGTATATGGAATGTTTTCTTACGTTTTGTCTCTTTTTCTAAAGAAAACTGTCTCCCAGCAGATAGGATTATTATATTGGGGTTGTTGTTCTGGGGGAATTTCTTGGCCTGGCATACAGAACTGTAATTTCCTTTCTTCTCGCAGCAGCACCATCAAACATGCGTTCTTAGTTACCAGCAGCCCGTCATCAGCATAGCTGCATCCGGCCTTGAATGGGCAGAAATTACTGTCAAGCTGTATCATACTTCATGCTGATATTTGACCACATAAACTACCAAATTAATAATGAACTGTTTATGTTAAAAATGTCCTAACATCTTAGAGTTCCAGTAAAATGTCGGTTCTCATCTGCTGTGGCATAACAAGCTGACTGTGTCAGGTTTTGATGACGTGAGTTTCTAAAGGTTTACTTGAGATTAAGAGTATCATAGACTCACAGAACGGTTTGGGTTGGAAGGGACCATAAAGACCACCCAGTCCCACCCCCTGCCATGGGCAGGGACACCTTCCACTAGACCAGGTTGCTCCAAGCCTCATCCAGCCTGGCCTTGAACACTTCCAGGGAGGGGGAATCCACAACTTACGTATTTTTTCTATATTTTTTTCATATTTTTAAACCAAGATTTCCAGAAAAATTATTATAATTTACATATTTTATCCATATATATACCCACACACCCCCATGTACATGTTTTAAATCCATCTATGAAAAGGACTAAGAAGAATTGATTTGGTTCAGTGTAACACACTAATAATAATTTTACAGTGATGTGACTTATTTCAAGTATCAAGTTAGCATAGCATATTTTTGGTTGGTCTGTTGTAGAAATGCACATAAAGCAATAGATATGTTCTAGTCTTCAGCCTAGACAAGACAGATTTTCAAAATGTGTCACCTGGAATCTTCTGGTATCACTTTGTGTTGTATGCTGCAGAACTGTATTTGCTGCTGAAGCACAACATGGTGAGTGCTGCTATAGTCATAGTCATAAGGAATGTTTGGATTTGAAGCTTGTATGTAGCTCAACCCAGAAAAAAAAAACCCTAACTTGCCAAAATTAGACTTTTTTTTTTGTTTTAATGAAAATCATTTATGCCACGAAGTGGTTATAAAAGTAAGAGTGCACTTGCCTGATGATCAAAGCCATAATCTAATCTGGGAAGGAACATATGATCCTGAGTAGGAACAGCTTTTCACTCTGAAAATGCCAGAATTTTGTTGTTCCCGCTACAGTCGTGAGTAATCTCAGGGAAGGTCATTTGGGGCTGAGATTAGCACAAATGAGTGGTCTTGGATACCTTATTTTTAGGTCTTACCATTTGGAAAGTGTAGTCTTTCTAGAATGTGGCAAGGTAGACCTTCAGAGTCTGAAGTACCATTCAAGATACTCAGTGGTGCTAGAAGCTTTGAGGGTAACGATCTTAATAAGGCACTCAAATGGATTGATGCTTGGGAACTTGAATATTCAGAAATATAGGCAATGCCATTTTGGAAGGATTCCTTAGCTGGTTAGTAAAAATCATGGTTCAAGGTTCAAGTTTATCACGGGCTGGAAATCCAGGTAAGACAACACTTGAGAAAGAGATCACCTCACAAGTCCCTCCTCATGGCTCTTAATACGTTCCAGTGAAGCATCTGATGCTGACGATTCCTGAGATCAGGGTGCTCTCCATGCATTTCAACTTCATAAAGAAGTATTAGGCTCTGGGGGAAATCCACCTCCTTTTGTTAATGCCAAACTTTTCTGAAAATTCTCCTTCTCTTCCTCATTACGCCAGTAAAACTCTGGGGAGAAGATGATATTTGTAAATGTATATAGCCAGTTTCAGGTGTGTGGGCACTTAATTGTGGGGATAAAGGGGAGACATTATTAAATGGAGAGATGTGTTTCTGCAGGCACTTTAAGAGAACTCAGTAAAATAGTGCCTTGAGAGTGCAATATTTCCTTCCCTTGTTTACTACTGAAAGGAAAATACAGAAGTTCCACTCAGCAAAACTTCACCTGTTTTCTTGATAATTTAACCTTCTTCAGCCCTGAGAATTCCATTATGTTACAGTGAATGCACTCCCAAAGCGGTCAGATTCAGTGAGTCAGATCATCTCTGATGGGGACAAAAATAAAAAGACAAAAAAGAGGAGGAAAATATATTATAGTTAGATTTTTATTTTTTGTAATGATTCCTGTAAAATCTTTCCCTGTATCCCCTTGCAGTGTCGCCCTCTAGTTGCTGGGGAGGTGGGCGTTGCATATTTAGAAGTTTTGCGTCAATATATTGTACACAGTTTTCTTGAGAAGAGGCAGGAGAGAATGGTTAGGATGCTCCAGGTAATCTGTCTTAATACCCTTCTGCATTTGAGTTTCTAAGCCTTCCATTGGGCAGGCTGGGGAGTGAAAAAAAAATTGCAGCTCACATTTACAGTTCATTGGTTCGTGCCAGTAGGCCACAGATGACCTACTGAGAAGATCCTGTGATAGCATTACTTGGAGGTAAAATAAAACCTCCCAACACCCGCCTCCCCCCGGCCCCCCCCTCCCAGTGAAACACACCCTTGCTGCGATTCCACTTGCTGCTTGTCAGCTCCTGTCCGTGCTCCCTGCTGCTGTGTCGGGGTTAATACCCTCCGAAAGAGAAACTGGCAAATAGGGAAAGCCATCTTTGTGTGCGTATGTGTGTGCAAGCACTGCTGTTTCATAGGCTCCGGCAGCTGCTGCATGGCCGATGATGCTTGCTCTCTCTTTTTCACCCTGCCTCCCTGCAGACAACTAATGAATCATTTCTAGCCTGAACACTAGCAGTGCAAACGCACCAATGCTGCTGCTGCCGACGCTGCCGCCTTTCTCTACCAGGTTGTAATTTGACACAGTAGACTGCAGTTCTCTCTCGGCAATGATCTTGCTGAACATCGGAAGCACTTGATTTGAAGGTACGCTGAGATTTCACCCTTTCTAAAAATAGCTATTTCTGTTAAATGCTTTGCGGGCCAAATGAGGGTGGGAGGGCTGAAGATTTGTAGGTGTGTGGGGGAGAATCTTCTTTTTAGTTATCAGTAATGCAGCAGTAACTCTTCTCGGAGGCAGACAAACTTTATTATTCTGCTGCAATTCGATGATGCCCTTCACTGGATCTTTTCTTCTAGGTGCTGCTTAGAATAATAAAATGTGTTAGTACCGTGCACGAGCACTAGGTAAAGGGATTAAACTCTTGCTAGATTATTCCATCCTTCCTCCTATTGATGTTTAATCTGATGTCATTTTCCTGTCATTTTCAAGGTTTCCCATAAAATAAATACTATATTGACAGGTTTGATGGGGCCATGTTTCTTTCCTGTATTAGTGTCTGTGGCAAAGTTAGTAATCATACTGGCTAGCAGCTCCCCCCGCCCTCAAGCCCCCAAGCCCGGTGCATATTCACAGTAGCTGTTTGCTTTGCAGATGTATATTGTCATGTCATGGCAAAGTCATCAATGTGACTACTCTTCCATACAGATATTGTTAACTAAACTGTATGTGGGATTTGTCTGGCATCTAATGCTAAATTAGACGAATGGCAAGTAAATACCTCATCCTTTTTTGGTAGAAGGAAGAGAGCTTCTGCTGCTATGTGCATATATATATATACATGAGCACACTATACATCGCAGTGTTTGTGGGAAGTATGTTATGTATATGAGTATGTAGAACAGCATAATAACATTTTGTTATAATATATGCATATAAAAACCAGTTAATTAGTTGGCATGTACCAGTATTCTGTGCTCAGTATTTTAGGAGATGCTGCAGGGTTTTTTATTAACCTCTTTTCAAAACTGGCTATTGCCTATAGCATTGAGCAGAGGAGATATGCCTTTCCAAGAGCGATTTGGTCATCAATGTTACAGTTGTACATGGTCTTAGTACAGTTTTAGCTGAGGAAAATCTAAGTGCATATGAAGGCTTTAGTTTCTCTTTTTAAGCTACTGCTCTCTGTTATTTCAGTGGTAAAACACTGATTGAGATTTTTTTGTCCAGTGCAGGTAGTGATGCAGTTTATATATATAAAATAACTCATCAGAATAACTTACTAATGAGTCTTGTCACTGCATCTAGTAAATACAGAGTTTGCTCCTGAAGTGATCGGATGTATTGTGAAGAAATACCTAAAGTCATAGCCATTGATCTTAATGTTAAGAATTGCACCAAGTATGCTGAGACAGGGAAAGAATAATACGATTGCCATCATCAAAATACAAATAAGGACTATTGCTTAGTGAGATAGAAGAGCTGCCTTAAGCAAACAGCATGAAATATTAAAACACAGACCAAGTGGTACAGAGGGAATGAAAGCATCTCCATAAATCCAGTACAATTAAAAATAGCAGTATATATGAACTGATATGAAAGTTATTGCAGTCAGTTTATGCTTCAGCTTTTTTGATCAGGAGGTGTTATATTTTTATTAGAGGAGGGCTTTCAAGTCTACGCAGATGAGAAAATGAGGAAGGCAATCCAGATCAAATCTTACACATGTCAGCCAGGATTCACCACTGTAGACATCCTTTGAACTACATATGCATTACTTACTGTACCTTAACAGAGGTTGTTGGGTCTTTTTTAGGAGGCTCTCTGGTATGTTTGTTAAAGAGATCTAGTGGTTTGGAACGATGTCTTTGAGTGTACTACTTTCTTTTTGATAAGAAAAAGACTTACTCTAAATGAGACTAGTGAAGTGATGATGGTGCCTGCAGATAAGACAGCAACCCTGATTTTTCACAGCTCTACATCAGAATCTGTCCCAGCCTGCAAAAATACAGCATGACTGTATGCTAGAGGCAGTGAACAGAGGTGCCCTGTTATTACATAAAACTTTATATGTTCGGGTGTACCTGGAAGAGCTCTTTGAGAAATTTAAGATGATCAATTTTCTAGAGTTATAATCAAATTACAGCTTAAAAGTGGAACATGGTTTATATGGGTAGGAAAAGTGAGATGGAATAAAATATGGGACAGTGCAGTGCCACAGATTTCTGTGTGAAAATTATCTGAATAGCTGATAGATGCTACTTTAATTAACTGACAATTACAAGCTCAGAAATCTTAAACATCTCTAGATGTGGCCAATCTCATACTGATGCAAGCTACTTTTGCGTATATACAAAATAAGAATCTCTTTGCATGTTAGCTCATTTGATTTTGGATACGTGTTAGATGTGCATACTCATTGTCACTTAGATAGGTGTGTGCTACTGAGTATGAAATGAATGTATAAGTACAACAGTCTTCATTCTGGTAGTAGCTTATTACAGAAGCCTTTCTGAATTGCCAGGAGTAGAAATTAGATGTTACAATCGCTGGATAATTAGTATCCTCTGATAGGGGGTTTTTCCTTTATGTGAGTAAAATGGTCCACCACATATCACAACTAAATATCCAAAATCATGCTGACTTCTGAAATAAGAAACTAGTTGGTCATGCATCACTGTCCAATCCTTTCAATATTTATATTGAATGAGTACGATTTGCCAGTCAAGGCTGGTTTTCATTTAACTGAAATTGTTGTAGGCCCTCATCAGTACTACAAAATACGTCAGCATAGCTGACTGTTCTAGGCTGACTGTCCAGCACAGATGAGAATTGTCATGAAGCATTGCTGACAGTAGCATTTGCTTATTGCCATTAGAACTGAAAAATAGATACCAATGTCGTGATTAAAAATAGAATGGGAATGTAGTCACAGTGCTGGGAAAATGCAACTTCTTCAAAGCAACATGTCATGAAACCAGTTTCTCGTCACCAGGGAAAAGGAGGGCTTTTGTCAGGCTTATTTGCACAGAGTGGGCTCTTGGGAAATGGCAGTGATAACATTACCGTGGGAGAACAGCCAATGATCCTCTGGAGAAGCTCGTTGACACTGAGGTTTTTATGTGGTCATTGAGGGTTTCTTTCCTAACTGCAACCGTCCTGTTAAATAACATGTTGGAGTCCTGTTTGTTCTGTAAGGTGTGATTGTAAAGCTGTATGTGGTTGGAATTTTAGTGAGGAAATTAAGAGTGGATTATAGTCTTGTGGTTCAACACTTTGGCTTGTGCTTGTGATGTGGCACTTGATGAGGAAATCAGAGTGTGACTTCCAGCTCTGCCACAGATCATGTGAATGGCCCTGGGCAAAGCACTGAGTATTTCTTGGGTTCTGTTCTCTTTCTGTAAATGGGAATAATAACAAAGCCTACTTATTGTATCTGCTTAGAAAATGACATCTTCAGACCAAAGACTCTTTTCTCCATCAGGATGCTAAATCCCAGTGGAGGCTTCTGCATGTTACTTAAAAATTATTTGACAGTCTGCATTGTACATTGTTGATCTATAAAAAATATTTCCAAGTTTCAGACGAATCTGAATTGATTCTGAGCTTTTTGGAATAACAGTTGATTTGCTAAACTTTCTGTTGTGCTCATGGGTACGTTCAGTTTAGAGCGAAGAGCCTAATTTCCCTACTGATGGCAGTGGTTTGGTAGAGAAACACTTACAGTGCAAAAGTCAGGACAGAGGAAATGGGACTGTAGGTCAGATTATTTTTTTTTTAATTGTCATGAAGTTTTATATTTTCTGTATTTGAAGCAGTGTAACACTTCTACAGCAATAACTATTACTATGCCAACTGTCTGATGTTGATTAGCAAGCAGCAGTGGTGCACGCTATTACTGTGAAGAGTCAAGGGGAAGATATTGCAAATATAATAGTTTGGCATGGTCTTCTCTGTTCTCATCTAATGACAGTTAGAAACTATCTTCCATTTTCATCCTATCTATCTTCCACTATCATCCTATAGCAAGCTCATCAGTGTGATACCTTCTTTAAGGCCTGTTCTGAGCACAGTGGGCTGGAAGGGGACTTTTTACAAGGGCCTGTAGTGAAAGCGGGGAGGTTTAGATTAGATATCAGAAAGAAATTCTTCCCGGAGAGTGTGGTGAGGCACTGGAACAGGTTACCCAGAGAGGCTGTGGATGCCCCATCCCTGGAAGTGTTCAAGGCCAGGCTGGATGAGGCTTGGAGCAACCTGGTCTAGTGGAAGGTGTCCCTGCCCATGGCAGGGGGGTTGGAACTAGGAGGTCTTTAAGGTCCCTTCCAACCCAAACCATTCTGTGATTCTGCGATTCTATGGTCAGTCAGCACGTGAACCCCTTTCCTTCCACATTCACTCTCCAATGGGGTGAGACTGATTTAAAAAAAAAAATATTTTTTTTTTTGGCTGAGGAGCATGAATGATTTTTATAGACAACTTCAGTTAAGTTTTTACGCTGGATGTCTGATGGAAAAAAATAATAATAATACCCCCTCTTGCCAATTTTGGAAGGAAAATAATGCCTTTTTGAGCCAGGTTAACTTGTTTAGGGTTGGCTTACAAAATCCTAAATTGAGATGAAATTCCTTCAGAATCAGGAATTTATTCTGTGTCTTCATTTCAGCTCTTTCTGAATATTTCAGTACCTCCTTTTTATACAGTTGAAAAATGTTATTTGTTACTTCTTCATGGAGTATCATGATGCCTTTTCACTGGCGTGGAAAGTGCATCTTTAGTAAGGGCATTGTCAGACTCGCTTGAAAATATTTTCTGGTATTAATCAGCAGGGACTTTTGTAGATCTGTGCCAGTTTACACCAGGAGGGATAGCTCGGCACAGCACTCTCTGGGAGTGTGATAATGGGCTAAACTCTTACTGAGGACGGATAGAGTTGATGGTGCTTAGAATTCAGCTGCATGAAGCTCACAGTTGTCACCAGAACAAGGAATACGTGGTTGAATCTGTCCCCTGTTTACTGCGTTTTCCCTCTTCTGTGACAGTCACAGTTTTCCCTGTTTGTTAAATCCTCCTTTCTGTTCTCCCCACTTCCCTGCCCCCAATTCTGCATATAGTTTAGACCATTAGGAATATTCTCTGTCAGTTCCAG